CTGATGATTGTAGTTCTTGGTTTCATCTGATAGTTAAAACAACTTTCCCCTAAACTAGCAGTGTGACACAGTTGTGTCTTTCACATCCCCCAAGAATAGATGTGCCTCAGTCGGAACATAGTATGTGATGGATACAGTTCGCAGCTTTCTTGATAGTACTCAACAACACAGCCAGTGATGATCATCTTCCGCAGAAATATAGACTGTGCTGCCACACGTTTCAGCAACTTTTGCGAAATTGTCACACGGTCTGCTTTGTTGTGGTGGGTCATTACTTTTGGCGCCAACTTTGCAAACACACATTGCGTCAAAATTTCGAAAACTTGCATTTTGTGCAAGTTTATTTCCTTTGCGAATAACACGTTTGAGGCAACATGAATTGCGTAACGCTGTAATCAGTCATTAGTGCAGTCAACAACACATCGCCGGCACAATAGAAAGAAAAAAAAAAGAAAAAAAGGGAGAAAAAATGAGGGGAAGGGGGGTGGGGCACATTTAGCATAAAATCTAAAACTCCCATGATCGCACCAAACACTAAACTCGGTAGCTAGGCGACGGGAGCTTTGGACTCCTGGTCAGATAAGCGGAATCTCCATTAGCAAAACTTAGATGGAAACATAAATTTGCATATGGTCGGCATTCAACCGGCTCTCGGCAATTGTGGCTCTACGTCAGGCATCTAGGGTATGAATATTCAAACTATGTCACCGTTATCTTTGACTAATATCGTCATCTTTACCACCATCACACCACCATCATACCAACATCACACCACCATCACCACCACTATCACACCATCATCATACCAACATCACACCACCATCACACCACCACTATCAAACCATCACTATCACACCACCACTATCACACCACCACTATCAAACCACCACTATCACACCACCATCATACCACCATCACACCACCACTATCACACCACCACTATCACACCACCACCATCACACCACCATCACACCACCACTATCAAACCACCACTATCACACCACCACTATCACATCACCACCATCACACCACCATCACACCACCACTATCAAACCACCACTATCACACCAACATCATACCACCATCACACCACCACTATCACACCACCACTATCACACCACCACTATCACACCACCATTATCACACCACCATCACACCACCATCACACCACCACTATCACACCACCATCACACCACCACTATCACACCACCACTATCACACCATCATCATACCACCATCACACCACCACCATCACACCACCACTATCACACCACCACTATCACACCACCATCACACCACCATCACACCACCACTATCACACCACCACTATCACACCACCACTATCACACCACCATCACACCACCATCACACCACCACTATCACACCACCATCACACCACCACTATCACACCACCACTATCACACCACCATCATACCACCATCACACCACCACTATCACACCACCACTATCACACCACCATCATACCACCATCACACCACCACTATCACACCACCACTATCACACCACCACTATCACACCACCACTATCACACCACCACTATCACACCACCATCACACCACCATCACACCACCACTATCACACCACGATCATACCACCATCACACCACCACTATCACACCACCACTATCACACCACCACTATCACACCACCACTATCACACCACCATCACACCACCATCACACCACCACTATCACACCACCATCACACCACTATCAAACCACCACTATCACACCACCATCATACCACCATCACACCACCACTATCACACCACCACTATCACACCACCACTATCACACCACCATCACACCACCATCACACCACCACTATCACACCACCACTATCACACCACCATCACACCACCACTATCACACCACCACTATCAAACCACCACTATCACACCATCATCATACCAACATCACACCACCACTATCACACCACCATCACACCACCACTATCACACCACCACTATCACACCATCATCATACCACCATCACACCACCACTATCACACCACCATCACACCACCACTATCACACCACCACTATCACACCACCATCACACCACCATCACACCACCACTATCACACCACCATCACACCACCATCACACCACCACTATCAAACCACCACTATCACACCATCATCATACCAACATCACACCACCACTATCACACCACCATCACACCACCACTATCACACCACCACTATCACACCATCATCATACCACCATCACACCACCACTATCACACCATCATCATACCAACATCACACCACCACTATCACACCACCATCACACCACCACTATCACACCACCACTATCACACCACCATCACACCATCATCATACCAACATCACACCACCACTATCACACCACCACTATCACACCACCATCACACCACCACTATCACACCACCACTATCACACCACCACTATCACACCACCACTATCACACCACCACTATCACACCACCACTATCACACCACCATCACACCACCATCACACCACCACTATCAAACCACCACTATCACACCACCATCATACCAACATCACACCACCATCACACCACCACTATCACACCACCACTATCAAACCACCATTATCACACCACCACTATCAAACCACCACTATCAAACCACCACTATCACACCACCACTATCACACCACCACTATCACACCACCACTATCACACCACCACTATCACACCACCACTATCACACCACCACTATCAAACCACCACTATCACACCACCACTATCAAACCACCACTATCACACCACCACTATCAAACCACCACTATCACACCACCACTATCACACCACCACTATCACACCACCACTATCACACCACCACTATCAAACCACCACTATCACACCACCACTATCAAACCACCACTATCACACCACCACCATCAAACCACCACTATCACACCACCACTATCAAACCACCACTATCACACCACCACCATCACACCACCACTATCACACCACCACTGTCACACCACCACTATCACACCACCACTATCACACCACCATCACACCACCACTATCACACCACCATCACACCACCATCACACCACCACTATCACACCACCATCATACCACCATCACACCACCACTATCACACCACCATCACACCACCATCACCACTATCATCACACCACCATCATACCAACATCACACCATCATCACAACCACAATCACAACCGGAAGTCCACTGTGCGTGGCGTCACCTTTATTTTTGTTCCGGGACACGCAGGCGTCGATTGAAATGAAAGAGCTGACAGGTTGGCTGGATCCGCTATCACTACCGACGGTCGGCCTATGGATCATGCTGATATTATCAATGCCCTCAGAGAAATGGGAAGGATAGAGGACTTTGGTGGCAGTGAATCCACATCACTCGCCAGAATGGCAGACTTGGGAATTAAGATCGGCACAGCAAAAAACGAGACGCACACCGGACACGTCAGAAGACTTGTTAATCAACATAGAACTGGTACTATTAGCCATCGGACGTTGGGGTTCATACTGAGGGGAGGATCTGAGCACCTATGGACATGTCCGGAGTGCAATGACGATAACCCAACTAACTAACTAACTAACTAACAATCACAACCACCATCATCGCCAACCGCTAGCACTACAACCACCACACTAATGCTACGTTACAGCTGGAAATAGTGCTAATGCAACTGTTGTTTCTTTGACAAAAAGAACTAATACTACTACTCCACTATCGTGCAAACAGATCAATCACAAGGAAAACTAGTAAACTTTACGAAACCAGTATCATCAATGATAGCTAAACGTTTCGGCCAGAAAGCCTTTATTAACATACAGCATATCAGGCAACGATATAATTACAAATAAGAATAGAAGAGAATTGTGAAAACCTACAGTGGAGATAAGGTAGAGGGACACAAACAGATGGTGGCTGTTCTGGGAGCTATACAAATATTGTAAAAATGTATCATACCAAATGAGAAGTACATCTATAATCACAACTATAATCATAAATGACAAACCAACGTTGCGGCTAAAACGCCTTCGTAATCATATATTTTCACATCTGACCGATTGACTAACTGATCGATTTATTGATAATTGATGTATGTATACAGCTGTGGTCTTCCTACGTCAGATTATCTTGTACAATTGAGACACGAAGGTTGCCAAGATCTTACCGTAGACAGTCTCCCATGGCAGCTGCAGACTCACCAGCAGAAGAAGAACATCCCAAGGACAGGCTGGCATTTGGACAAGAGCCCCAGTTCTTGCACCAACAACATTCGCCATGAAGCTGCTTAGAAAAAAAAGATCTTCGTGTCCGAATTGGAACCAGACCTGATGTTGTCTCCGTCGGTATGTGTGTGTAAGTGTGTGTGTGCGACTGTGTGTGTGCGTCTGTGTGTGTGTGTCTGTGTGTATGTTTTACGGTTCTTATCATGAATCCGTCTTCACAACGATAGTTCCTTTACTTCCCATTGATGACGTTCCTTGTCAGTGACTTCTTTTTCTGGGAAATGGGGTTGCGGAGGGGGAAGGGGGGTGGTAGAGGGTAAGGTACCGCGGGAAAAAAGTAAAACAATACAAAAACATCCCAGTTTCGATATTCGGGGAAAGTCGCGCCTTCAGCGTTTCTTTTTGCAAAACTTCGTACTTGTACACAGGCGCCTGCGACACCTTAACGAGACTCATGTCAACACAACCTCCAACAAACATTATTTACGGCGAGTGAACGCCAAAAGAAGCCATCTCATAACACCCCCACTACATAGGACAGACCGTGCGACCCGCCGCGGCACGATTGGATAGGGAAGGAACATTTGTTGTTATATATATATATATATATATATATATATATATATATATATATATATATATATATATATATATATATATATATATATATATATATATTTATATATATATATTTATATATATATATAAGGGCGTCTGTGGCTTAGGAGTTGCAAACACTATTC